CCCCCCCCCCAAAAGAAAGGTCATTTGGGTTTTCTAAAGGATATCGAGGTGACTGGGTGATAGTGAAAATCATCTGCATTGGAGAAAAGTGATAGCACTGCAGGACATGCAGAATCAAGATGCCATTAAATCAGAGAGTGACAGCTCCATGGTAAAGCTGTTCGTGCCTTGGGTTTGGGCTGTCTCCAGCTGACATCTTATCATCGCCCCAGTATTGCTGTGCCCCTCGTGGCTTGCACCAGTTCCCCAGCGGAAGGGAAGGGCGTTCTCCGAGGAAGCTGCTACAGCTGGAACCTCTGAGAAGCAGAATGAACAAAGGCCCAGAGGGAGAAAGGTCCTTTTGCTTGATAAAATGCCTTGGCCTAATATCCACCTGTTTTTTGGTGTGTGTCTCAGAAACAGATGAACTGCCTTCATTATGCTGCACTGCACGGCTATGAAGATATAGCCCGGGTCCTTGTGGATGCTGGAATCCATGCAGAGGCCGTCAATCATGTAAGCTGCATGAAATGATTTTGAGTTTTTCTAAACAAATGGGGCCAGATTCTGGATACGGTCATGGGAGGCAGACGATAGGGGACCTGGATCTCCTGTCTGTGAGCACCTGCTTTGGCCATCGTAAACCTCTCTTCTCCATCGTGCAGCCCGGCAAATGCTGTGCTGGCACAGGCTGAGCAGCTGCGTCTGCCTATAAACTATCTCTGGTATTTGCCTTTGGAAGACTTGTCTGCCTGAAAGCAACAGCTTGCTTTCATTTCCTGTCTTGTCCTCATTGATATCAGTAGGAGCAAGGCTACACCTGGCCCGTACTCCGTTCCCTTGAGGAATCCATACAAATGTCAGTTGCTGCTGATCCATAAGGTGCATGATTGGCAATGAAAAAGGAGCGCTTTAGAATTGGGGATTCATAGCCTTTGTGTCCTAGCCCAGGTGCCGGGACCCTTAACAAGTAGATTGTCAGGCAGAAGGCTGCATATAAGCTATAGACCCGTGGCAAATAACGCATCTTCTTTCCATAGCAAAATGCCTCAGCTATGCACATAGCGGTGCTGCACAACTTCCCAGCCCTGGTTAAACTCCTCATCGATGCAGAATGTGACCTGGACATCCCAGATAACGTAAGACTGGGAACTGAGCAGGGGTGCATGTAACAGACGGCGTTTAAAACATGGAGATTCAGCTCACGAAACTCAAAAGTGCCTGAGTTGTTTGCATTTTCCAAGCAGGTCCTTGGTTGGACCCCATGATCCCTCTGTGCGTGAGGTTCCCTGGCTGGTCTGTATACAGGTCTGCATGTTCAGGCCCTTCCCACTCTGAGCTGTGAGCAAGCAGCAGAGGTTTGAACACATGCATAATTTGGAGAACATTAAGAAAGACTGTACCAGGAAAGCAGAAATGGACCTTGGTTGGTTCTTGGGCCGAACAGTGATGTTGCAAGCAATGCATCTGTTGCACATACAGATCTCTTTCAATCAGTCATTGGATTTTTAGGTCATTATCGCCATACTAGAACTAAAATCAGCTCTCAAAAAGCATTTGAGTTGGCTTAGTGCCTGTATCGATTTGCTGTGTTATTTCTTGGCTTGGTTTCTTGTATGCTACCTGGAATTTTCCACTAAATGACCAGCCCTCATTTTGACTTGAAGGGAAATCACCAGCATGGTATAGCTTGATTTTGGCCTTAGAGAGGTAGAGCCAGTATCCATTTGATATGGTTATCCATGGAAAGGAAACAGGGAAGACTGTCCTGTCCATTTCCCAAACATCCCTCTGCTTGATATATAGGGCTGGAAATGTGCAATTGGGGGGTCCCAAAGGCATGTTATAGGCTCAGATATTGTTAGGCTGAAATATGTACCATGAAGGACTTCCCATGGATAGTGCCAAGACAAGCCAGAATCCCATCTAGGAATCCCCTGGTGCATCCCAGCTGATGGGACATTTTACATTAACATCAATGGGACTGAGTTAGGTAGTAGAGAGGGCAAAGCATGTATAGGAATATGCAAGTTCAGCAGCGTCAGCTGGTTCCATTATACGTGGCCGTATTTCTTCCTGTTGTTCTCAGCCTGCATTCGTGCCCAATGTTGAATCTCTCCTTTCTTTTTACACAGAGGCAGCAGACCGCACTGCATATTGCTGCAGAACATGGGAGACAAGACATAGCTGAGATGATTCTCATAGCAGGCGTTAACTTAAAGCTAATTGATAAGGTAAACTTCCTTAATGGCCAAACAGATCTGAGAGGACTTCACAGGACTGCTAATTTATTTTACTTTCAGCTGCAGGAAAAAGTCAGTGCTAGAAAAAGATGCATATTTTCTTTGATAAGCAGTTAAAATGAGGAGGAATTGGGAGGGAGAGGGTAAAATGGAGGAGGGTGTAGTTTTAAGGAAGGTGTGGGCTGACTTTTAGAAAGGTGCAGAATAGTTCACTGATTGCTAGGCAAAGCTGCAGGAGTCAGTGCCTGCTACTGCCACCTCTGCCAGCACATGTATTAAACGCAAACCACCTTCTTCTGGGGTGGTCTTAAATAGCCAGTAAGAAGGATTAAAGTACAAATATGTTAATGGGCAAAAAATCTGAACTGTCCAATGGTCAGTGTGCAAAGAAACCCTGCAGCTCTGATTAACAAAAAGATTGTTGATAGCATTGGGCAAATGCAGCCCTCTGCTCCCAAGCACGTATTTGCTTGTGCAGGTGAGAAACTCAAAGAGTTTTCAGGTAGAGCTTAGTATCAGATCTACGATTCACTATAAATGGCATGCTTTTTAATGAAATGTAATAACATTGTAATTGTTTGTTGCAAAAGATTTGCAAAAAAGCACTGCTTTCCAGAAGGACTCTGAAGCCAGCTATGTATCTTGTGATATACAGATGAAACCATGTGGTTTCTCCAAGTAAATGGTAGATAAATATATTCATAGCTCTCAAAGGTGAAGGTGCAGCTTTGGAGGAGATGATGTCT